GCTGGGCTTCCTCAGTCTCTTTGTGCTTCAGATTTCTGAAGCCTTTCCTCATTTAGAAAATAGTCTACACCGCTATTCTTCTGATCAAAGCGCATAACCTCACATTTTCTCATACTGTATTCAACTTGTTTTGGTGAACAGTTGTGTTTCAACCAGACTGCATCATTTTGTACCTAAACCTGCTATTAATTCCCAAGATACTATAATAATGAGACAAAACCACCATGCACAAAATTGGTCCTCATTGGTCTTCTCCCTCCATCTCACCCTCCAGCTAGGTCTTGTGTGCAAGACGTATTTTGCCCTGGTCTCAAGCCTGATTGCAAAAGAGGGGAGGAAAAGGCGCTCCACAATCAACTTTGTCTTGCTACAGTGATTGCTCGGTTGCCTACACAGCCAAAACATTTTCAAACCATGCAAAATTCACATTCTTGAGTAAGGGGGAAGATACAACCTCTTACAAATCTTTTTCTGAGGCAGCAACCCACAAATCTATTCCAAAAAGGTACAGGTGATGCACAGAATAATTTCTATGTGATAATAACTGTCAATGAGAATGTTTCATGGATAAAACTGCTTCAAACCTGCACCATAGCACGAAGTTTTAACTCGTACACAAACAATCCCTTATGTGGAATTGGACAGCTTAATTTCCTCCAGTTTCTAAATACATGCCGTGAACCAATCACTTGAGATTGTGAACTCAAAAGCTTCAAAGGCAATTATGGAGCAAAGAATCTGGGCAGGATGTTTCCTTTCTCCTCCTCGAATTGTTAGTCAATGAGATAATTCTGCATTGACCCGAGTGTCCACTCAAGTCAGCACTCTGATTAGCTAATCAGCGACTTCCTTGGACATGCCCATGAAGGAAGTTGTACTCAAGCTGCACTGTGGTCAATGATGCATTCCTGGCAGTGGCAGAGGCAGAGGCTCCAACAACTGTGCGCGCGCAATTCTTAACTCCAAGATCCCAACATTTTCCAACTGTTGAGAACTAAACCATTTTTCCCCACTCAGTATGTCCACCTCACCCCTCAGTCTGGAGTTTCTCCAATTTTTACACGTTAAAAATGGGGTCAGCATAGGAGAAAGTTGGAAGGACTACACTAGACTTTCGCTAAACTCATTCTCCTAAAAAGTTAAATACCAAATGAATTTTGATGTAACATCTGCTGTTGTTACAAAGATCTCAGGAGGGTGGGAAAGGCGAGTGACATAATACATTTAGGCGCCAGATTTCACACTCTGACTTCCCAGCATCCTTCTGCATAACACTCCTCAGGACAACTCACTTAAATGTCACGCGTTCTTCTCACTTCAGATATCTCTTTACATCCTCATCTAGCCTATACACCTTCCACTGTCTTTTGTCACCCTACAGTCTTCTCACATGCATGCTCAACAGTCACCCTCCACAAATGCTGCCTTTCCCTCCTCTCCACACAAGTTGCTTCTAACACATTCTGCAAAGCAAAAAAAGAAAAACTGGAGGGAGCAGAGACCAGAGATGAGGGCAAAGGGATGCCTTCCACTAACTGGACGATCACTGACAATTACATATCCACCTATCCCACTGGGAAGGAGACCCTCATTCCGGAGGGCTGTAGATGTCACCAATGGCTTGCCTTAAAAACCTGAGCATATTGGATACTGGTGCTCATAAATTTGATATTCTGTCTGTACACTGTGTTGCGTTTGTCAGATCTATGCTCAGAACAGGAATATACACTTCAGAAGAAGGCACTGATGCCAGTATTTGGATGTTGCTAATGCTGATTCTCTTGCTACTCAGAGGGGAAATGTTGAGATGTATAACCTGCTTCCATGCCATGGTTAAATCTGGCGACAAGGAACAGTAGTTGAAAGAGAGGAGCAGCTGCTATGGTGTAACTATATTATAAGCAAATGCGGTTCTTAGTTTATTAACCGTTCAATTGAAAAGGATCAGTAAAACATATTTTGGTTTGTGCTGCAAAATTTAAAATGTTGACAAGTATATCTTCTATTAATATTGTCTAACCACCTGTCTGCAAACTCATTCAAATTTATGAAGTTTGGCATTCCAACATCACGATTAGCTAGATTCTGAAAACAAAACATTTAAATTCAAAGTACAGAAGTAGGATCTCATCCACCTTCAGAAACCTTGCGAGGTAGAAAAGTTTGAGTAAAAGTTATATTAGATCAGTCTTGCACATTATTTTTGCAGCTAATAAGGGGATCAACGGCAGGAAAGAGACAGTTTGAAGACCAAACAGAAGGCTTCTTAGATTTGGCTGCCGAGAAATATATCACGTGATGATCTCCATGATATGCAAGTCATGCTCCTCACATACAGACCCCTGCTAGTCACTGCAGTAATGCATGCAACAGCAGGCAACTTGCACACGGTAATCTTCACAAATACTGCAAGGAAAATAGAACAGCAAACAGGGATTGCAGGGATATTGGAGAGACCACATCTGGAGTGGTGTGCAAACTTTTACTTTCAACTTATCAAGTGACAAAGGAAGCTGAAAAGGGCCCGTGTTCCTTCTAATTTCATTTTTCTCTATGTGAATCACTTGAGGTCTTTGCAGGGGAGCGACGTTAGGAACCCAAAGTCAATGCTGCTATCCACAATGGCACACTGATCTTCATGCACAGACCCCCAAAGCAGGCACACGCAGCCAATTGGGAACTGGAGGAGACTAACGGTTGTTTGTACATTTGGATAACAATAAGTTGTTTGTACATTTTCAATGTGGTTAGCAAAATTAGTCCATTTTTTCACATGCTTTGGGGAAGGAGTGGACAATGATTTTGAGCTCCAAATGACCCTACACAAGGTTCAGCAGTACACTGAATATTTACAACTGACAAAGTGGTTTTGTTTCGGACTGGGGGCAGTGTAGATCAAGCAGGTTCCCATCTGTTCAGTAGATTACCTCCACTTTTGAGCTAAGACCCAGTATCGAACGGAAGAAAATGAACATAGCAGTGCAACGGTTGACCTCAGTTTTCATGAGAAAGTAAATTTAGATACTATATATTAGTTCCAAATCATTTATTATAGGGTGTAATGAATGAGGTCCGCTTCATAATACACCCCACAAGACAACATCTGCCCCTTGAATCAAGATCAAAGCAAAATCCTGGAACCTGTGGACTACTTTGGGTATCTTGGGAGTCTCATCTTGATATAGGCAGACATTTAGGTGACTTTAAACACAGAAAGCAAAATCTATCACCTCCAACGTGCCAGCACAGCGTTCGGCTAACTGGCAGACATACTATTTGAGAGCCAGGAGTTGAACTTTGAAACTATAGTAATTGTTTCTAAGTAGCAATGATCCCAGTTCTCCTAAATGCTTTAGAGACTTTATTGCAGGCACCTCAAAGCACTGGGGAACTAACACCAGCAACTGATTGTTAAGATCCTCCAAACCAGGCAGCAAAAAAAAAAAACAAAAAAAAAACCACAGTGCAAGATCAGGAACTTCTCCCAAGTGAATTCGCACAGAAGCAAAGAACTGATCACTCAAAACCAACTGTACTGAGGAGTATGCCTGCCACCAGTCTCCCAAGAAAATTGTTTTACTCAATTAGTTGCATCAAAACACTCCCAAGAAACAATGGAAATGCCCTCAAAAACATCCCTAAAGATGTCAAACATACATGCCAACTCATACAACTGATTTGTGACCAACCAAGAGTGTTATTCACAAAAGCAACAGACACATGGAAAGATTTTGGAACATGCAGAGGCAAAATCAAGCCTTTGAAGGGAACGTACAAACCTCCAAAATACCCATCTGCACAACCGTTCAAGTTCCATCTGTGCCAAATGTGGCAGAGTCCACAGATAGTGCAAAGAACTTATCAGCCATCTGTGAACCCACCAAACTGGAGCACCCTCAACAATAAAAAACATTAATTGCTCATAAAACACAGCACATCTGCCACCAGAGATAGTAAGAACTGCAGATGCTGGAGAATCTGAGATAATAAGATGTAGAGCTGGATGAACACAGCAGGCCAAGCAGCATCAGAGGAGCAGGAAAGCTGATGTTTTGGG